TTACCTTTTCTTCTCTCCCCCCTCTCACTAAATTCCTTATCCCCCTTCACATCTAGTTTCAGTCTCTCAAATTCATTTAATTTTTTTTCTTTCTAGTTTTTTTAGGACCATCTGAATTTCTAATGAGGGCCTTTAGAACATTCAGGTTTTTCAGTTTGCAGCCTAATTTCTCCACAAATCATGCTACGGTTTCTATCTTTTCTCCTGTTATATCTTGGATCTCCTTCCTGTATTCTTGTTCCAAGTCTGGTAACTCCTTACCCTTTCCTTCCTCTCCATTTTCTTTGTCCTCCCCTATACCTAGCGGCAGTTGTTCCTCCTTCCTCTTTAGCTGCTCAAAACTAGCACTTATTTGCTCCCAGATTATCTCTCCTCTTAGCCTCTCTTGCTCTTCCTCATCTTCTCCTACAGCATTTACAATTACCTTATCATCTACTACTGCCCCAACTTTGCTTACACAGGCTCTTGGCTCGGTTCCGATGTTGGACGCTTGAACACCTACTAAAGGCACAGACACCTTATTAGTATAAAAAACCAAATTGATTGTCATATACACAGGCTCTTGGCTCGGTTCCGATGTTGGACGCTTGAACACCTGCTAAAGGCACAGACACCTTATTAGTATCAAAAACCAAATTGACTGTCATACTTGGGGGGGGAGTGGAAGGGTTGAAACAAGGTGAAAGGCTTTTCTGAAGCAATATTTTCCTGCTCAGAGTGTAGGTTTAAGCCTACTCTCATAGACGTATTGTGGCCAATGGGTGCTATAATACCATTTTGTTTTCTTTGACCGCTAGGGATTCCTTTTAGCCCTTCCTCAACTGGAGTAGTCTTAGCAAACTTACAGATACACTTGGCAATTCCTTCATTTAACACTTGTTCGAGTTGTGGGTTTAGGTTTGGATTTCCTTTAATGAAGTTAAAGGCTTTCTCTCCTACTTCTACACTCTCTCCTCATAGGTCTACAATGTCTTCACCACCGAAATTTCCCTGTGCATAACCATCTGTATCTCTGGAGCCTTCTTCCTCCAAAAATAGTATGCCTGTGTTCAGGTCCTCTGAAACCACACCCCTTTCTCTTTGGTAGTCATTAATACTACCTATCGAAGAATTTTCGATGGAGTCTCCATCGTCTGAACCACTGTAGTCAACCCATCCTTCGTCTTCAACGTCAGAATCTTCCACTTTATCCCTAGAGTACCTAGGATTTGGTCTGTCACCATTGGACGCACTATAGTCTTTTCAAGGTCGCCACTGCAAAGATGAAGTTTGCTCCCCTGAAACTTGTTTCCTTCTCAATAGAATAGGAGGGAGCGAACTTGAAGATGATAGACCACAAGTTCGACCCACTAGCTTGCCCCTCTTCTCTAAGGTCACGTGGTTACTTGAATAGTCACGAGCAGGTGTGTCCTTCTTACCACCCAAGAGCATTCTGAGTGAGTCGGTATGGGCCTGGGTCGTTCTTTTTGGGATTGGATCCGGTTCAGTTTGACCTACCTTGTCTCAGTTACCAGGGTGAGACCTGAGGTACATGCACTGTGGGTTTTCTTGAAACCCTGAACCGGACCAGAATTCCAATATTGCCCTGGACCTTGGAGATAGATGGGCAAAACTGGAATGTTACACCTG